TGTCCCTCACCAATCAATCCAAGCCGTTGAGATCATTTGATCTAACGGCTCAAGTTAATTGCCACGTTCCATATACCCAAAACCCCCAAACCCCTCTTACCCGTTCATTCCCAAACACACTTCCCCTCCCGTCTCTGAACCAAACACCCCTCAGAACCCTAAGCGCCGCCTCCCCACCCCCTCACCACAAACCCAGCGGCAGTAATGCCAGTGACCACCAAATTAACACCCCTAGTGCACCTCGACCACCTGGACACAGATCTGCAAACCGTTTGGTTTGAATCAACCCACATCGTCTCGAATCTTCATCTGAAGATTCGAGCCAAACCTCAGCTTGTACGAACCAACTCCAGACTAACACCCAATAATCCCCTTTACTTCCTCGTCCTTAATCCCTGACCAGATTGGTTCGAACATGAGTTAAAAGTCGTCGAATAACGGATCTAGGGTTTTCAACAGTTCAAGACGTGTCAAAGCTTCAAGGTCGTTTGGTTTCTGTTCAGTATTGTAGGCCTATTTCTCACGAAATAGACGTATAATACTGATTAGGACTCAAGTTCGAAAGAACATACTGTTTGAAATCTGAGAAAAGAACAGTAAGTTCTCCTTAATTCCTTTTGTTGCCTTCTACAGTTTTGTTTGTCTATTTTAAATTGTATCTTTGTCTTGATTTGTTTCTTGTCTTTGGTTCGGTGCTTCTCTTTTTTCATCAGACCTTTTATTAGGTCCAGTTCCTCTAATTGTTTGGTTACATGTTGTAAATTGTTCGGTCAATTTATTGGTTCGTTATGTGTGAGTCCGTTTTAACCTGATAGTTAGTTCTAATCCTGGCTTTGGTTCCATAGTCCATTTCAGTACGTTTTTGGTATTCTTGTTTAAATGATGTATGACATTGGTCCAGTTGTCCCCTATATGTGATGTGTGCTTTCTTTGTTCTTTGATATTCGTTCAATCTTCGTTGAGTTCAGTATATTCGCAGGATTTCTTTCGCTCCATTTCAGCTTAATTTGGAATTATAAATCAATCATTCCCACAGTGTGCAGTTGGTGATTTGGGAAGTTTGACCTTGATAGTTAGCTAGACTTGTGTTCTGATTCATGGTAATGTTGTTACTGAGTTTTCTTTTAAGCATCGATGCATTTTGATTTCAGTTTCAGTTTCAGCTTTAATGTTCTGCTAAGCTTTTGTTGTTAGTGTTGATTTTGTTTTGAAGTTCCAACCCAGAATTTAGGTGTTTGAATTGGCTACAACTGCAGTTTAATATAGATTTCAGAGTTCAATTCGAATTGATATAGAATTGTTGTCCCTGTTTGTTTAGATTTTGGACAGCATGTGCATTGTAGTTTTTTTAATAAATTAAAGTAACTTGACAGCATGTGTTGTCAGGACATATTCATGCCGCCCATACCTGTTTAGTTTAATAAAAGGAAAAACCATTTTAATAGTGAAAAGAGGGCTGTCAGAGGAATCTGATGGGAATACTTTTGTTTTTAAACTTTGAGTGGAAAAACAGAAGGGAGAACATGGGAGGAAATCAGTATTTTATTGAACTAAGTGCTCTAAGAGCTGGAAAGAGAGGTCTGTGTGTGAATATAAAGGGAAGAGAGTTGATTCTGAAAAAAAAAGACAGAGTTTTGGAGAACAAAAACTTAAAGAAAAGGCAGAAAGAAAACCCCCTGGAAAAACTCTAAAACTCCAGAAAAAGGGCACTGTTCCATTGTTTTAAATTCACATTCAGTTTGAGATTTAGGCTCAACCAAAGCTATTCTAGCTCTTTGAGATTTTCTTTTCTAAAACATTTCTGGATCTCTGAGTTTTACTGGGCTGCATCTTATTTGTCCCACACTACTGATTCTAGTGCCACTGCTGTTATTTGTTGGTTGCTGCTGCCATTTGCTATTGCTGATCTGCTACTTTCTTCTTCTTCTTCTTCTTCTTCTTCTTCTTTGTGTTTCAATATCCAGGTACATATTTCGAATCACCTTGATGTAACCTGAGTTGAAGTTGAAACGGAATTATACAGCAAATCCGCACATTTGGATGCTATTTGTCGTCTTTAATTCTATAGATGTCAAGCGAAGTAGATTTATCTAATATTAGCTCTGTTTTTATATTTTGTATGAATATTGGAAATATTACTGTATAATTGAAACTGTTTAGGTGTGTAGATTTTTGTGACAGAAGTTTAAATTATGTAGATAGTTTATAAATGTCATATCCCGAAGTTGGTGATTTGAAAAATAAACATGTTAAATGTTGACGCAAATTAGTAAAGTAGGATATTAAGCTAGTAATTTCGCAGAATCGTTAAGTCTGCCGTATTTGAAGTTTGATTCGATGTAGTAAGGCTAAGGTCATTAACTTAATAGACATGGTTTGATTTCGAACAAGGTTTTTCAGAGTTCTTTTAAAGGTAATAGATTTTCAAATTGTCGATTAAGTCTAACAACCTTCGAATGTGTTGGTAGTCAAGTTTGGTCCATTTTCAAAAAAAATAATAATTAGTTCCAATGGTTCAATTCGTCTAATATTGTGAAGTTTAAATTAGTTAAAGAATAATTGGTTTGTTTTTGACGATAGCATTTGTCAATTCCATATCTTATTTATAATTTCATTTTCTTTTAGTAATGTTCAATTATAGAATAAGGCATGAAACAATTTTCTTTGGAGCAAATTCGATCGCAATTTTGCGTTTAGCATTTTTGTAATCTAATAATTGATAAGAGGCTCAAACTTGCCAAGCTTGTAATTTAATTAGCATATATTTTCCCTTTTTAGGCGAACAAAAAGTAGAAAATGTAGTCATTCTAAGATGATCCTTTTAAAATAATGAGACGAGCCTCGCCAAATAAAAATGCANCTGAGAAGACCATCCTGCCGCATCCCGTTTATTTGGCGCATTTATTTGTTTCAGATCTCCATGTTGACCGGTTTCTGAAATAAAAAAAACAATAAGAAGAAAAGAAAATAGCAGCGTAGGGAGATAACTACTTATTTTTAGAAGAATAAAACCAATGTCCAAGTAGTGTCAAAACCTCGCCGAAATTTTCTTTAAATTTTTTTTTGTCTTTTAGTTAGATTTATTAGAAAAAAATATATAATACAAAAAATATATTTCCTTTAAATCACTCTCAAAATCCAAAACTATTTGTTTTGAAAAAAAAAATAAAAAAAAAAGAAAATTCAAAATCCAAAAATACTTTTTCTTTGTAGTATCTCTTTCATAAATTCAGACTAATAGTCCAAATGTTTCCTCAGAAGATTTTTCGAAATTTCAAAAAAAAATTGAAAAGGAGTTTAAAATTCAAAAGAAAATATTTCTTTAGTCGTCTTTTCTTCTCAAAAAACAGTTAAAGAAAAATCGAAATAAAAAAAAGTATTTCTCTTTTCTTTGTAAGTATATTTATTCAAAAAAAAGGGGCTTAGTTTATTTTCCCTATTTCTGATCGGCCCGAACTACGCCGGTTTGATTCTCACAGGGTGCGAGATACGTAGGCAACCCTCATCGGGTCCACCCCCCCTTTTTTTTCCAGAAGTAGCCAAATGTTAGAATTTTAATTTCATCATAAGTGAGTCGGGTGACGCCGTTTTGTCAAGAATAGCCGTATGTTCCCGAAAGGGACGCCGGAAGGCTAACTTTGCATAAACAACCATTTTTGGTCATTTCTTTAAATTTTGACTAAATTGCCCAATGACCTTAGGATCCTCGTCCCCGAGGCTCTGTGACGCCATGTCGGGTCACTACTCTGAAAAAGAGAGTCATAAATAAATCAAGTGACTGTTTTGTCAAAAATAGCCAAATGTTCCCGAAAGGGACAGCGGAAGGTTTACTTTGCATAAACGGCCATTTTTGATCATCCTTTAGAGTTTGGGTCGATTAACCCGCACAGCCTTAAAATCTTCATCCCCAAAGTGCTGAAAGACCGGGTTCGAAGATCGGATCTCTCTTTTTCAAAAAAAAATATAGTCAAATCATTTTTTGAGTCAAATCATTTTTGCTTAAATCACCTAAATAAATGTGCAGGATGAGCACAATGCAAAATGAACGCTTTTCGATAATGACT